TGTTCTCCTGTATTTCTATAAGGGAATTATTTATGTCCTTCTTAAAGTCTTCTATAATCATAATGAGATGTAATTTTAAGTCAGAGTATTGTTTTTCCAGTATGTTGGGGTATCCAGGGCTTGCTGTGGTGGGAGTACTGGGTTCTGATTATGACAAGTAGCCTTGATTTCTGTTGCTTATGGTCTTGTCCTTGCCTCTCATTATCTGTTTATCTATGGTGTTAGCTGGTCTTGCTGTCTCTGACTGTGGCTTGTCCCTTCTTTAAGCCTGTGTGTCAGCATTCCTGGGAGACCAACTATCTCCCTGTGGGATTTGGGTATGGAGAGTTACGGCACAGGGTCAGTCTCAGGGTGCATAGAGAAACCAGAAGGATTCCAGCACAGACCTATTAAATAATATTTAACACTACAGATACTAGTCCAGTTTAGTATAGAAATATGCTTCCTAGGTTGAACAGATAGCAAATACTTAAAATAAACAATTCAGATATACTATAGATACTCTTCAAAAATCTCAGAAACATACAGAATATTCAATTTAAATATATTTTATTAAGAAAAAGTTTTTTTGCCTGTGAGATATGTCAGCTTCTGTCAACTCCCCCATTCTACTTCTAAGAACATTGTTTCATCAAAGAACATCTCTATAGAGTTTTTTTCAAAAGTGGCAAGCTGGCCACTAGGCAGAAAACGTTTCTTGCTTCAACTACTAATAATATGCTATCCAAACTGGACAAACTGAGCAAAGGAAGTCTACTGCCAAATTTTACAGAGACTGAGTAAGCAATCCTTCATATTTCCTGATTCACAAAAATGTCTGTCAGATATTCTGTGTCATATGACTAAAAATGATGCTCCAACAACACAGAGAAATTTCAGAGGACTGTCCACAGAGCCATCTTTCTCTGTTCTTTCTATACCTTTGTAAGCTCTTTGCCTGCACTTCCTGCATACTTAGGGATTTCTTTTATTCCTTTTCAAGTCTCTGATAGGATTGAAGAGAAGATAGTTATACTCTCATAAGTAAGCTTAAGCAGTTTAGGATTTAAGAGAAAGTTTTAGGATTTAGAAAATGTTTGAGGTTGGTAATGCAAGTTATGATAGAAAGGGATTTAGATACAGAACTCTGAGTTCCACAAGATAGAATATATGTTATAATACTTTCTCCAGGCTTGCCAAATACATATGGACTGGACATAAATACTATAAATCTTACATGGTAGTTTTCATAATTGTTTTTATTGTATATGGTTTATAACTGTAAGAGAATCCTTTATTGGACTAAAAGGGAGAAAAGTAGAGAGAATCTATTGTACAATATATGGAAGCATCAACTGTCAATCAAATGTATTTGGCTTATAAGCAAATGGTAGAAAGTAATAGGAGAAAGTTATGATTTAAAAAATGTGAATTCTAGGAGATAGAGACCATGAATTATTACAAAACTAAAAGTATACAAAGTTAACTTTAAAAGGCCTTTTATATGCCTATAACAAACACTAAAAAATAAAATTTTTGAAATATTCTCATTCAAAATAGCCTCTGAAAAATAAACTATCTGGGGATAAACCTAACCATGTTCGTCTCTTCCCAGATCTTCCATTCTTCCTCTCTCTTTCTTTCCACCCAGCTCCCTCTCTCCTGAATTGGCTCACTCTGTTGTGCTTTGTATCTGGCAAACATATCTTCAGAGCAGGATGACAACCCTGGGAGGCGTCAACCTGAGCTTAAGTAACCTGCAGCAAAAATTGTCTCTTCTCTTCCTTGGGGAATATCTGGTTTTCTTCTCTGTAAGATTTTCAATTGATTGATGGTGGCATTTACAGGATAAAAGGTCATCTGACATAGTCAAAGCCTCCTGTGATGAAAGAATAGTGGAAAACAAAGATAGGTTTTCCTACATCACTTAATGCAACAGGATCTCCTTCAAGTTTTCCCAAAGACCCATCTCCTGGGTATTTCTATATTCTGTCATGTTGACAATTAAAACTAACTACCACAGTTATACAACATATAATTATCAAATTTATGTAGTGAGGACTTCCATATCTTTAAACATCTTTATTTTGATTACTGTATCTTTATTCTATGGCAATTATATCATATCAACACAAGTATAAAATTGTGTTGTATAATCAAATTAACATATTTTGTTACCATTACAGCATTATTCCATTGTCTTTGATGAATTTCAGTACTTCAATTTCCTTATTTATGAATATATCAGAGGTTAATTTTTAACATAATATTTTTATTGATTCTTTGGGAATTTTACATCATGTACCCAATCACAAATATCTCCCAGTTCTTACATTTCTGGCCCTATACCCTTCTGGCCTCTTTCCCCCAAAAAAGTAAAAAATAAAAATTTTAAAAATCAGTAAAATATTATTTTTAATTTTAATTTTTCTCTCATCCAGCAGCATGCACAGAACCTGGCAGCACAATGAAAGTAGGAATGAAACTTCCAGGACATTACCAGCTTGATTTCTCCAGGTCCTGTGACTTCATTGTGTGGTGTCTTCAGCAATAGGATCTTACTGTCGAGTTCTGAAGACTAACCAAAGCAAAGGTAATAAATATTCTATAATATTTTGGGGTCTATGGGATCCCTGTGACCAAGAACTTGAAAGAGGTAAACTATACTTCACACTGAGTTCTTCATTTGGTAGCCTGTGGTGCCTGAGAGAGATTCTGTCCTTCCATTGTATGGTTGCTCCATTTAAAGTCATTTTTGCATTTTAGTTAGCTTCTATCATAATAAGTTTCCAGTGACTTTTTCAAAGACCTTTAGTGTTAGTTATCCCTCCCTATTCCCTTTCCTCTTGTGAGAAAATATATGTTAATGCCTTCATTGCTTTGTAAATCTCTTGTGACACTATATTCTTTTCTTTCTGTTCCATTATTTGTAAACTCTGGCAGCTTTTACTGAATGGTTCTGAGGCAATTTATCTGCCCCTATGTTCTACTGCAGAGGCATCCCCAACTGCACTGTGTCCTCAGGATGAAAATGAGCATGCCAACAGTTGTCCTCAGTCCATGTTTTACCATTCATACGTTAGCCTTGTTGTGGTGGCCTATTGTCTGGTCTTAGCTTCATATTTACTCTATTTCTGTTGTTTTTAACATTTATAACCATGGAGGAAAGCCATTTACTGCCATGTTGGAAAAGGAAACTGTCACTGACATGTTCTGTTCTTGGAGAAGTCTGTCTGATTTTTTGGGGGGAGGGAAGGAGGGGCTCTATTGACAGAAAGTGTTTCTGCATACTTTAAGCACATGTAATCAGATATGAAGAATAGATTACATGCTCCTGTTAATACAAACTGTGTCATGTTCCCAGTTTCCTTTCATTTGAGTTTATTCTAGTTTGGAATGGTTGGGTGAGTGCAGATAGTGGGAGGTTGACACCATTGACTAGGAGGCCTATTTCTGATTAACTGAAGGCACATGGTGATTCTGTCTCCTCCCATACACAGTGTTTCACATACATAGTGGATTCCTGTATGAGAACTAAACACAGCTCTCCATGAGTTTTTTTTTTTTTCAGGGGAAAGAGTCAAAATATAGGTCCAGAAATAGAAACTTTTGGATGTAGAGCCTGACTTCCAGACAACTGAAGTCATGGCAATGTGTCACAGATTCACAATGAAAATACTCTTGAGGTATAAAAAGGGGAGAAAGACCACCATCTACCTTGATCTCTACAATATCAGGAGAGCAGTGGAAAGCATTCTTTAGAGCATCATAGGGCTTCAAGTAACAGTGGGACAAGTTAAGCATGAATGAGCTTGAGGTCTCAATGTCCAGGAGAACCCAAATCTGCTTAATTCAGACCTAAGACACATGTAATCTCTTAGAGGGACACTAGGGTTCTCTCTTTAGTTACAGAGCAAATGCAAGGTGAGCATATCACCCTGGAACAAAAACAAAACTGTATCTTCATCCGTGTGTGCACATGCTGGGCCTGTACATGTGTGTGTTTTAATGAGCTGGTATATGCATCTATGTGTACAATAGGTATGTGTTCCTATGTGACAGATGACCCAGTACATGTAGCTACTCACAGAACTCTGCATTTAGCATGTGTAGGTGTATTAACAGAAATCCTGAACTTCCTTGGAATAGTGACATGCTGTGGTAAGTTGTTAATAATCAAAATAATGCCATAAAAATATTGTAAATAGCCATCCATGCAAGCCAGAGTCTCTACCATAAACTATGTTAAAAGTATCACCCCTTAGATTTAGTAAGGCCTTCTGTTAAACTTCAAACAACTTAGCGTATACAAGGCCTTATCTTCAAGAGAATATATGAAGTGGGGCATTTCCTCAAGAGTGTGCCCCCCAGTTACCTAGCAATAGCCGTGTATGCCAGACTCACTAAGAAAAGGACTGTTTGACCCCGCTTCAATTTCTTACTCACTTACTCTCTTACACTCCTACTCTCTTTCCTCTATGTCCCTTCTACCCACATTCCTCTCCCTCTTTTTTCTCATCTGTTCCTAGCCACCCTCTACTCCTCTCTTCTCCTCTCCTTTCCCTTCTTCCTCTCCCTTCCCGTTGCCCCCCCTCTCAACATTCCCAAATCCCCTTCCATGTCTTAAATAAATTATATTCTATTCCTGTGGCTGGTACTTCAGGGGGAAGGGATGCCTCAGCATGAGTCCACAGAGGCATCCTTCCACACACACCATAATGCACCTCTTCCAAACACATTCCTGGCTAGTTCTTTTTATAAAACACAATAGAGTTCCCATTTGATTCTTACAAACTAGCCATTTCCAGGAATAGAAACTGAAACCTACTCTGACTACAGCATCCCCCCTTGAGTGGTTTAGATAAATAGAGCTCAGATCCAAGCGGTACAGTGTAGTGAACAAGGACAGTGTGTGGAACAGTAAGGACAAAGATACCCAGAGCTATCAGACTGTCTATCCCATGGCCTGATACTTTCTCTGTGCAGTTCTTCCTAGGACACCAGAACTCCACACCTCATGTCTTCTCTTCATAAACATCCTGAATCTGAATTCCAACTTTAGATAAAGACCTTTCCTGAGAGGAGAGCATTCACAGAAGTGTTATTGCCACCAGATCAAGGTCACCACTGCTGAGGTAAGTGAAGGGTGTCTAAGTTGAAATTGTTTGATAATCGAAGATGTGTGATAACATGAGGAGTAGCTTTCTAATACCAGGAAAGGAAAGTTCAGGGCTTTGTACCCAGGGAGCATCCTGGGCACAGGAGTATCCTTCAGTGGCCATCTTCTGGACCACAGAGCATCCCAAAGCAGAGAAAGCAAACCCTTCCTTCCACTTGTGTGTTGTGGGCCTTGATTGTCTCTTGGAGCAGTCAAGCTTGGAGAAAGAGTCCAGGTTGGGATCCTCAGATGCCCTTTGAGTCCGTGCTGTAGGCTCTTCATTTGCCATATGAAGATAAAATCCCAGCTCAGAAACAACCACAGACAAGTTCTGGCAGATCATGTTAGGCCCTTCAGTTTTAAAAGATTCTTTTGCCCTCAGTCACTTGTTACTCTGAAGGTCTATTTTAAAGTTCTTCCAGTTTTTCTCTTGCAGTCTGCAAAAACAATTTGCTCTGTATATTCAGGGTTTTCACTATAATATGACTTCAGGAGTTTCCCTTTCTGCCCTGTGTATCTGGAGTTCTACATGCTTTTGTATCTATCTGGATGTGCTTTGCTGTCCCTAAATTTGGGGACATTTCTGCTAGGATTCGTTGACTATAATTTCTATGCTGTTGGAATGAAGTTCTTCTCCTTCTTCTATGCCAATACATCTTCTGGTGTTCCAAAGATCACACATGTTTTGTTCATAGGTTTTTAAATTATTATGGAAAACCTTGAGCATGTCTTCTAATTGTGTATTATCTATACATACCTAAAACTCCTGATAATCTCTCCTTCACAAGATCCACTGCATTGTTGAGCCTTTCCATTGGGCATTTGATTTATCAAGTTTTAATTTCTAGCCCCATTTAATACATGAGTTTCTTTGGTATTTCTCTTTATTGAATTCCATTATCAAACCTTTGTCGACCCCTGATTTTCATTCAGCTGGTTGAGTCCACTTACCTTGGTCATATTTACAATCATCCTTTTCAATTCTTTGTGTGGACTTTCACCTATTCTCATGAAAACCACAAGAATTTTCCTGGCATTTGTGGGTTTTAGAGGAGATGAGCTGTCTTTGTTTGTCATATAATCTTTGGCTTTGTGTTTGAATTTGCTGTTAGGAGTTAGATCACTTGTTAGTGTTCTGAGTTATGCAAGACAAGAAAGAGAGACACTGCAGGATGTATTAAAGCTTAGCAAGCAGCAGGGAAGGACAGTATCTGATAGAATGAACCCCACAGAGCCTTGTGGAATCACTTTCATTGATTGCCACAAAAAAAGAGCTTTTTAGGAATTCAATTCCCACAGACCAAAACCTCATGCTCGATCTAGAATTTGTCTGAAGGAATCATTACCTGAGCAATTCTCAACCACACAAGGCTTCCTGGTTTGCCAGGTATGTCTTGGGACTGAGAACAGGCTAAGGTTCTGAAATTCCCAAGGATCAGCAACCTCATAAGTCTCAGATAACAGTCACTGATTTTTTTTTCAAGAGCTTAACTTCAAACCATAAGTGGCCATCACTCCAAAGTAAATGCCGGGTGCAATGGCTCTTCCAGTTGGCCTACTGCATCTCTCTTTAGTTTAGGCTCTATTCAGTTATTATGAAAATTAAGTTTATGTTGAAGATCATGCATCCTTCCAGTAAATACAGTGTTTTCTATGTCGTGCTATTTCACAATCTTGCACAAAGAAGCCAGTAAACTTATTAGTGAAAAGACAAGGATAGCAGTTGCTAGACCAAGGAATCTTTTTGAGAAAGTGTCCTTAATTTCTTGTTGAAAATCATGAATCACTTAAGAAAAATGAAGGTGGCCCATCAAATGCCTTTTAACCTTTTTCCAGTTATACATGTTCTCATTGAAATTTAAAGGTGAAATACAAAATATAACATGCCATCACATTTAAACTTCATTTGTTCTTTGACTGTCCCTAACTCATATCAGTATTAGAGCTTGTCTTAGATCATCTATTTCATTCACCATGTCATTATTTTATTGTGTGGAGTCCAAAGTTCTGCAAAATGCTATGCCAGTCATTCATGAACTCAACAGTTTGAATTTCTTATTAAGTGCCAGTCTATCTGTAGTATCAACAGTAGCTAATGCTAATGTTAATAATTTCCATAATGACAGCAACAATCAGCCGAGTCATCCTACAAGTTCTTCTTAATACTCTTTCAGCAGGTATAAAAATCATCACCTGTGAGTCTTGCCATGGCCTCAACAGCTTCACCGGATTCCAAACTGGTGGCCTTGCTCTAAAAATTCACAAATATTCAGAAGTGACACTTAAGGACATACTAGGATTAACACGGCTATGAAGAGTACAATATTCACACATGATACAATAATTATTAAGTTGACACTGTACAGGCCTTTTCAATAGCAAATGAGGTAATGATATACATACTACAAAGGGGTGATATTGATTTAAGCTAATGGTCAAAGACTACTAACCATCATTAATGCTTAAACTCTCTTCCCATGCTTAAAGACGATAAAATACCCTTGCTATTTTCCACAAATTAGTCTGCACTGGATGGCCAAACTGCAGGAGAGGACCTGACAATCCAACTCTGTGCCATCAAATAAGTTCATTAACAGTAGAACTTATTTCCACAGTTGCATTTGAACTATGCCATTGCCATCTCAATTCTGAGTGAAAACATTTTCCTGAGGAAAGCAACAAGAACTCCAATCAATGACTTCTTCAAGGGATATCAACAAGCCTCCAAGGGTGCTCCCTTTAATGTTGTTGCCTCTGTCTTCAGTCCAATTCCTTGTTAGTAATCCACATCTCACAAGACCAGATGTTAGGTTTATCGAACTAGTAGCATTAATCTTCTATCCACTAAAGGCAAATGGGTGAAGCATGTAAAATTTTCTATGAAAATTCTGAGCAGCATTAGCTATGAATAACCACACTTTAAAAGATCAATGTAGACTTTGAGTTCTATTACCCATACAAATAGGAGTTTCTTGCACTCCCGTGGTGTAACTCATGATTTCTGTAGTCTCCTCCATAGGCTTAGCACTTCCCCAGTTATCATAAGGATCAGGAAACCAAAAAGATTTATTAACCACCAAGAAGATATCCATATCTCCCCTACTTACTCCTGTGTTAATTGAAGGATTAGGAATATAGGCCCAAAGTATATGCTTGGTCCCCATTGCTGTATGCATTCCATAAACAGCATAATAAGGAACAAAGTTGTACCATTCAAAGGTTTTGTCCAATTTTTATCAATTCTGATGGTGTCCAAAACACTTGGTTTCAATTCTAATATGAAAGCATGCTTGTTTTTCATCAAATACCCATTGTAAGCAGTAGAGATTGTAAACTGTTCCCATTGGCCCAGCAACATCTGAACAACAAAGCATGAGAAGTGCCACAGAGACAAGGAACAATGTGATGTGTCTTTGTGTGTCTGTGTGTATAGTGTGTGTAGGTATGGAAAAAGATATCGTTAAGCTTGGGTCACTATAACCTGGAATACATATTGAATATGTTGGGTGGCTCTTACTCATTTCACAACATTGTTAAGGACAGTCACTGTCAGCCCCTTCACATGAGAAACTGTGAGCCTGAGCCAGGGAACAGCCCAGGTCCAGCTCTGGATAGGGATTAATGTCAACTATGCACAGTTGGGCTATCCTTAAAAAATTGCTAATTGTTCAAAAAATGTTTCACTGACCCAGATAATCTTAAGGGTAATGGGTCACAAGATTAAAGAGAATAACTGCTAAGTTCCGAGGTTGTATGAACACCTTTCTTTGATGGCTGAGGGTCCCGCTGGAGTTCTGTTACAGAATCAAGACTTGCCAATTCACAGACAAGATATGAATTAAATTGATCCCCAGAATAATACCTAGTTTTTCCCTCTATAAATCTATGGCTAACCTAAGGCTTACCTAGATAATTCTCTCTGATTTGGGCTTGGTCAGTCTCCTCCTAATAATAAAAACCTCTAATTTACTAAAACCAAAACTCCAGTCAGACTAGTGACTCTCTAAAGGACCACAGAACCATAATATCACATAGGAAAATGTTGCAGCAGGGAAGAGTACTCGATTAGCCTCCTGTCCCTACAGGCTGTGACTCTGTGGTTAGGAAATCTGTGCCTGGTGTGGGCAGGAGTGGGGTTGGTGAGGATGACTTCTAATTTAATGCCATCTTGGGGTCATTTTACTAGAGAGATGACTTCTGTGTAGGATTAGAGACTAGTACTCGCAGTGAAGACGGAGGAAATTTCTCATCAAAACGCAGTGCAAGGAGGAGATGACAGACTACATTCAAAATAGGAACAACTTCCTCATGGCTTATACAAGTTAAACATAATTTTGCTTTTACAAAATCTAACACAGTTAACAGCACATTAATCATAATGTTCAGACTCACCATGAATTTTTCTATGAGTGGCTAGAGAAATAGATAATAAATTGATAAAGTAACTGTCTTTCTAAAAGAATGTTATGAATTGGATACAGAGAATCCACATAATAGACAGGCATAGTGGAGTGAATTTGTAATTCAAGTACTGACAAAGTAGGAAGCATTGAACCTGAAACTCCCTTGTCAGCCACCCTTGCCTAATTGATGAAGTGTAGGCCAGTGAGTGTGTCTGTTTCAAAATAAGGAAAATAATATCTGAGAAAGAACAGCATCTACACACATATATCCTACTACACATACACACACACACACACTGAGAGAGAGAGAGAGAGAGAGAGAGAGAGAGAGAGAGAGACAGAGAGAGAGAGACAGAGACAGAGAGACAGAGACAGAGAGACAGAGACAGGGAGGGGGGAAAGAATGTTAATAAAATAAGCACAGGGCAAGATTATAGCAAGTGTCTGCAATCATCGAACCATGTGCTCACTGGGTCTGAAAGTCAGTACTGCTCAGCAATAGATGACATCCCCTGAAAAGAGGGTCTTGAGGTAGGGAAGCAAAATGGTCAATGGGAGGGAGCCCTAACACTGGAATAAGTTACCAAAGTACCCACTAGAGCTCTCAGGAAGTCCTGGAGTTGGTCACTTCAGCAGAGCTCCAACTCCCAATCTGTGGAATAATGTGAGAATTTTTCAGCTGACTGTGTAAACCAGGAAGAAAGATCTGGGAACAGAAACAAAAACTGATCCTCAATGCACTTGCTTCCTTTAGGGACAAGGAAGGTAGGAATAAGATCTAAAAACTGCAGAACATAGAACAAAGACTATGTGAACTGAGATCTGGAAGGAAATCTGAAAACATCCACATTTACTTCCCAGCTGTTCTTCTCTCCAGAGCACCAAGACACCAACAGTGTGCATCCCATCTGTTTCCTCAATGTCCCAGCTCAGAGGAATCCATAGAGAGCTACCCCAGTGACCTTGCTCCTAGAGAAGAGGTGACATCACAGGAGGACCATTGGAATCACTACTCAGGAAAAGGTACTTGAAGGCTTTCAAATGCAGCTTGACCAGAAATCCTACTTACTTGTGGATTCAGGGTTAGTCTCCTGGTACCAGGGCAGAGTCTCTTCGGTTATGGATTATTTCACTCAGGGATTGTTCACAGAGAGGCCCTTCTCTGTATTCTGCACCACAGAGCACCCCCAACCCCCCAGCCAGGAAGCAACAAACTTCCCTATTACCCACACATGTTGGGTCTGTTGCTCTTCTGATGCCAGCTTGAGCTTGGAGAAAGAGGACAGCTTGTGTGAACCTCTTTGGGGTCGAGAGTTGTTGAAGCTTTTTGTTACTGTTATTTCTTTATTTTGATTTTGGTTTTGGTTGAGACTGGATCACACTGTGTGCCTTCTAGATGGTCTAGAACCTGTAAATTAAGCTGGCCTCAAACTCAAGGAGATCCAACTACTTCTGTTGCTCTCCTTCCTAGGGCTGAGATTAAAGGCATACACCATGACACCCAGCTACACTGGAACTATTTTATTTATACCATGAGAATAAAATCCTATCCAGAACATCCACTGCTATTTTCTTGTCTAGAAGGGAACTATGAGAAGACTTTTTCAACATAACCAGCACTAGCAATACCTTGAGTGTTTGACAGGGTTTCAGGAGCCTCATAGTCATCAAATCATGGGAAATAGCCCACTATTGGGGCTAGGATTTCCATTGATTAGCCTTTCACTTCTGGAGCAGCTTCATCCACTCACTCAAGATTTTTCTGTTCAAACTTTATTTCATTGTTTATAAACTTGAAAAGAACCATATTTCCTTATAGCTTGTTCATACATACTGGTTTTTCTTTGGCTCTACCACAGCCAGTCCTGTGCTGCAGCTCCCTGGCTGTCCTGCCTGTTCAAAGTTCTCAGTTCCCATTATTCCACCATCCACTTGTATATCCTATATATGCTACTATCTCTCTCCCCCAAAGCTATTTTATCCCTCTTATGGGCCCCCCTCCAGTTGGCTGGCCTCTATAAACACTTCCTAAAACATAAATGTACATACCTAAAAATGAGAAGTTGAAATCCAGATATGAGAGAGAACATCAGGTTTGCTTCTGTGACACTGGGTGACCTCACTTAACATTTAGTAGCTCTGCCAGTGTATCTGAATGTTATACACTTCCATTGATGTTATGCAGGAATCCAGTTCCATTGTGTCTCTGTGGCACATCCTCATTATCCACTTATCCTCTGGGCTGATTGCATTTCCCAGCTGTTGTCACTAGAGCAGTGATGAACATCATGTTCCAGGGACTTTGTGCTAGGATATAGAGTCCTTCAGGGCTACACTCAGGAATGATGTCACTGATTCCATAATGGCTGTGCTTGCTTACATCTCCACAGCAGCAAATAAGGACTCCCCTTCCCCTACATCCACACCAGCATCTGTTGCCATGGTCTCTCTTGATGAAAGCCTCTCTGACTCAGGTGAGATGAAATCCCAAAGTAGCTATAATTCTCATGTTTAAATGGCTGAGGATGCTGAACGTTTTTAAATACACACACATACACACACACACACACACACACACACACACACACACACATATATATATATTGTACTTTGATTCAAGGTCTGCTACAGAAGTACAGCAACAAAGCCCATGTTTTTTTCTTATATATGTAGGGAAGGATGGCCTACATATATATACTGACCATTTGTATTTCTTCTGAGAACTCTGTTCAGGTACACATTCATATTTTTATTGAACTATTTGTTTTAATATTGATCTTGGTTTTTGTTTAAAGTTCTATGCATATTTTGAATATTAATTTTCTGTTGAATGAATTACTAGCAAGGATTCCCTCCCATCTGGCAATCTGTCTTTTTACTTGACTGTTTCCTTTGCTGTACAGAAGTTTTTAATTTCTATGAGCTCCTGCTTGTAGTCATGGCCTTATTTCCTGAGCAGCTAGGACCCTACCTATCCTTACTTCTTGAAGTGTTTTCATTCCAGAGTTCTGAGCTCCATTTCTTAATGGAAAGCTTTTTCTCCAATAAGATCCTTTGAAAGAAAAAAAGAGGAGGTGGAGGAGGAAAGAAAGAAACAAAGAAACAAACAAAGAGAGTCCGGTAGATGTTGCCCTGTGGGATTTTATCTGTATTGTCCGTGCTCCCTTACTTTTTAAGTTGTCTGATATTCAGACAATACCATGGGCTTTGTTACTGTACTTCTGAAGCAGACCTTGAAACAAAGTACAGTAATGTCATTAGTATTTTCCCTTCCTCAAGCTTGCTTTGTTTGTCTGAGATCTTTCATGCTTTCAACTAAATTTTAAGTTTTTTATTGGATATTTTATTAATTTACATTTCAGATGTTATCCCCTTTACTGATTTCCCGCCCTCAGAAACCCCCTATCCAATCCCCCCTCCTCCTGCTTCTCCCTCCCCTACATATACATCTGGAACCATGGGTCCCTCCCTGAGTGCTCCCATGCTGGCTGTTTAGACCCTGGGGACTCCAGTTGGTTGGTCTTGATACTCTCCCCATGAGGCCACAAACCCCTTCAGCTCCTTCAATCTTCTCTTTCACTCCTCCATTGGGAACCCCATGATCAATTCAATGGTTAGCTGTATATGTCAGTCTCTGGCAGACCATTCAGGAGACAAGTATATCAAGTTCCTGTCAACATGTACCTCCTGGCATCCACAACTTCATCTGCCTTCGGTGACTGCACATGCGATGAATACTCAGGTGGGCAGTCTCTGGACAACCCCTCATTCAGTTACTGTTCCACATTTTGTCTCTATATTTGTTCCCATGAGTATTTTGTTACTCCTTCTAAGAAGGACCAAGGCACCCACACTTTGGTCTTCCTTATTCACAAGCTTCATATGGTCTGTGAGTTGTATCTTGGGTATTGTGAGCTTTTGGGCTAATATTCAATTATCAGTGAGTGAATACCATGTGTGTTCTTCTGTGATTGGGTTACCTCACTCAGGATGATATCTTCTAGTTCCATTCATTTGCCTAAGAAATTCATGAATTCATTGATTTTAATAGGTGAGTAGTATTCCATTATATAAATGTACCACATTTTTGATATCCATTCCCTTGTTGAAGGACATCTAGGCTCTTGCCAGCTTATGGCTATTCTAAATAAGGCTGCTATGAACATAGTGGAGCATGTGTCTGTATTACATGTTGGAGCATCTTTTGGATATATGCCCAGGAGTGGTATAGCTGGGTCCTCAGGTAATACTATGTCCAATTTTCTGAGAAACTGCCAGACTGCTTTCCAGAGTGGTTGTATCAGCTTGCAATCCCACCAACAATGGAGGAGTGTTCCTTTTTCTCCACATCCTTGCCAGCATCTACTATCACCTCAGTTTTTTATCTTAGCCATTCTGACTGGTGTGAGGTGGAATCTCAGAGTTGTTTTGATTTGCATTTCACTGATGACTAGGGATGCTGAACACTTCTTTAAGTGCTTCTCGGCCATTCGAGTTTCCTCAGTTGAGAACTCTTGCTTAGCTATGAACCCAATTTTTAACAAGTTTATTTGGCTGTCTGGAGTCTAATTTCTTGACTTCTTTATATGTACTGGATATTAGCTCTTGCTTTTCTGGTGTGATGGGGTATCCAGGACTTGCTATGGTGGGAGAACTGGTTTCTGATGATGCCAGGTAAACTAGGTTTCTGTTGCTTATGTTCCTGTGCTTGCCTTTCACCATCTTGTTATCTCTAGTGTTACCTGCACTCACTGTCTCTCACTGGAGCCTGTCTCTCCTGTTTTCTTGCTTGTGTCAGAACTCCTCAGGGTCCAGCTGTCTCTGTGATCCTGTGATCCTGTGATCCTGAGATCCTGGGTGTAACAGCTCCTGGGACTCCTGCTGCCTCTGGGATCCCGAAATTCTTTGATCCTGGGTGTGTTGGAGCTCCTGGGAGTCCAGATTCCTCTGGGTATTCTGAGATTGTGTGCAGAGCTATGATCCTGGGCATGTTAGGGCTCTTGGGAGTTGAGCTTACTCAAATGCTCTGAGTATAGCGGATCCTCCACTGCTCTGAGTACAGTGGATCCTGGGCTGCTCTAAGTACAGTGGTTCCTCTAGGATGGGCCATGATATGGTGTCTTCACAGGAACAGACCAGCTAGGAGTCTGCCCCAGCAACAAGGCAAAAAATTTTTTCTAATTCTGTAAATTATGACATTATAATACTAATAGAAAATGTATTAAATCTGTAGATTAATTTTCTTTTTTAAAAAGACTTATTTGTTTTTTTGAGTACACTGAAGATATCTTCAGACACATCAGAATGGGGCATGAGATGATTGTCAGCCACCATGTAGTTGCCAGGAATTGAACTCAGGACCCCCGGAAGAGCAGTCAGTGCTCTTAATCACTGAGCCATCTCTCCAGTCTCCTAGATCAATTTTCTTAAGCCAGTCATTTTTATGACATGAATTCTTCTAATACTTTAAAATGAGTAGTAGCGATTTTTTAGTTTCCTTTGATTTTTTCTGAAGCTTTTTTTAAATTTTATGTTCAACATTCTTTTTTTAAAAAAATTACATATTCTAGTTAATTACATTTCAGATGTTACCATCCCCATTCCCCCTGCCCCAGTAACTACCTATACTATCCCCCATCCTCCTGCTTCTGTGAGGGTGTGCCCTCACCCATCCACCCACTCCCTCATTCCTGCCCTCGAATTCCCCCACACTGAGGTATCCCACCTTCACGGGACCAAGTACCTCCTCTCCCACCAATGCCTGACAAGGCCATCCTCCCCTACTTATACAGCTGGAGCCGTGGGCCCTTCCATGCATGTTTCCAGGCTGGCGGTTTAGACCCTGGTAGCTCTGGTTGTTGGTCTTGTTGCTCTTCCCATGGGGCCGCAAGCCCCTTCCGCTTCTTCAGTCTTCTATCTACCTCCTCCATTGGGGACCCAATGATCAGTTCAATGGTTAGCTGTGAGCATCAACCTCTGTATATGTCAGATTCTGACAAAGCCTTCCTGGCATCCACAACATTGTCTGTATTTGTTGATTGCACACGGATGGATCCCCAGGTAGGGCAGTCTCAGACAACCCCTCCTCCAGTTTCTGCTCCTAAATTTGTCTATGTATTTGCTCCCATGAATATTTTGTGCACATTTCTAAGAAAGTTCAAAGCAACCACACTTTGGTCTTCCTTCTTCTTCAGTTTCATGTGGTCTATGAGTTATATCTTGGGTATTCTGAGCTTTTGAGCTATTATCCACTTCTCAGTGAGTGCATACCATGTTTGTTCTTTTGTGATTGGGTTACCTTACTCAGAATGATATTTTCTAGTACCATCCACTTGCCAAAAAATTTCATGAATTCATCATTTTTAATAGCTGAGTAGAACTTCATTGTGTAAATGTACCACATTTTCTGTATCCACTCCTCTAAAGAACCCAGATGTCCTTCAACAGAGGAATGGAATTTTTCAAGCTTTTAAAGTCTTCATTATAGAGGGCTTTTCCCTCCTTGGTTAGGCTTAATCCAAGGTATGTTATTGTGGAGAAGGTGCTGGCTAGTAGTATTAATGAGATTGATTCCCTCTTTCTTCTTTACTATTTTTGTCATTAATATATGTGAAGGAGACCAAGATTGGAATGTTAATTTTTAATTCTGTCACTTTGCTGAAATGATTCTAAGAGTTTTCTGAGGACACTTTACGTTCTCTTATGGAGAGAACTTTATATTATCTTTGACTTATCCCTTTTCTATTTATATATTTTTTATTTTTTCCTTGGGTCTAACTTTCTAGCTAAGACTTCTAGTACTGAAGTGAATAAAGAGTGGATAATAAGTGGAAACCCATGTCTTCCTCCTGTGCTCAGTGCGATTGCTTGGAGGTTTTCTCATTTGGCACAACATTGGCTATGGTGAGATGTGTTCTCTCCTTTCCCAATTTCTTCAGGACTTTACCATGAAAAGCATGTTTGATTTCCTCAGATCCTTAGTCTCTAGGAGGCTTGTCCTCAGCCTGAGATTAAGTCTTCCCTCTGGGGACTCCTTGTGTGCCCTAAAATCTACCTGATTCCCCTATGGCAAACATGAATTTAGAAACCAAATCTGGATGAACAGCTAATACCTTGGTATTTTCTTATAAAAGTACCATGATACACAATCAAGCCAGGATGGGCTTTGGACCATATAAGAGACATATATGGAACATATGGCAGAAAATGGCATTTCAATTCCCAGGTAGGTCTCGACTCCAAACTTATTGTGGGTAACTATATAAAGCAGGTCTACTTGAACTCTGTTATGATTGGTTTCCAAGAACAATAAAGCATACAACATAACAGACTTTGGGTGAACAGTTAACTCAGGCATGAAATTGTTCCTAGTAACAGCACATGATACAGTTTCCATGTAACAGTTGTAACAGCATTTGAGAAAGTTTGCTTATGGTAGCATAAAATAAATGGCTAGACAGGCAGTAGATACTCAGGCCATAACAACTTAGTTTTTCCACTACCTAGTCTTCCAGCAGTTGTACTATTAGAGAAAATGACATCAAAAGACTTTGAAAGTTATGCATTTTGTTTTGTTTTTTCAAGACAAGATTCTCTATATAACATCCCTGGATGTTCTTGAACTCACTTTGTAAACCTGGCTCAACTTGCACACACCTGCATGCCTCTACCACTGTAGGCCATGTTCTGGGACACACACAGACACATACATTTTTTTAAGGCTAGCTTCAGTCTGTGAAAGAAAACATGTGCTATTTGTTTTTTGAGATCCAGATTCTTTCACTTGAATAACAAATTACAATTACACTAATTTTTTTTGTCATGGTATTATTTTTCTTCACAACTGCATAGAACCTTATTGTATATATGTACCATAGTTCATTTGTCAATTCATCTGTATATAAATATCTACACTGAATTGATTTCATAGTAAACATCAACACAACAGCTATAACCACAGATGTACTTGCCTCTGTGTGGTCTGTTGACTAAACAGTCCTTCAGGTTGAAGTGTGTAGTGTTCCTCGGACAGTGATCAATTTCTGAAGGAACTACACCAACTTTTAATAGTAAATATGATTTCTCTTTTCTACATTTGTTGTTGTTGCTAATTTCTTGGTAGTGCCATTCTGATTTAACTGCCCTTTCTCTGATAGTTCAGGATATAGAGTAAATTTTCAAGTATGTATTAGCCATTTCACTTAGGCTCTTGATGACTGTCTCTACAGCTCATTTGCTGACTAATTGACTGAATGATTTGGGTTTTTACTCTTTCAGTGATTTTTACACTGTCAAAACACTACAATCCTCACTCAGTTCTCACATCATTTCTGTTGTCTCTTCTGCACCACACTAAGCCTTGGAGGCAGTAATTTAGGTATCACATTAATGACTGAGCATTCAAAAGTCACTTCTGCTCAATTCTTTGACCATTATGAGTTAATGTAAAGTTACTCTAACTCACAATACACAGAAGCTTCTATGGCCATATGAATTCATAAATACAAACATACACAAATATGTAGATGGCAAACTGATGGGAATATTTTTATGCCCATTCCACAAAACAACAGTAGCAGCTTCCCCACCAGAGCCTATGACCACCACATCCACATGATCTTGATTGAAAAGCAAAGGGTTTTCCACACCAAAGAGTGAAAGAACATTGGTAGATATCAAAGTCACAGGAAACCCAAGAAGGATGGATCAAGAGTCTCCCACATCCTTAAGACTACTCCTTCTGACCATGAGGTGAGCACTCCAATTGAATTAACTGCCATTCATGTCAATTATTAAAGTAAAACTCAAAACCTGAAAGTCAGTGTGCCTGTCATAATATGACATTATTTGGAGAGACTGACAGAGCATTGAACTTGGTTAATTTCTTTTCCAGACAACATCTTGGTATCATAGCTCAGGCTAAGATCAGACCATTGCACAACCTCCTTAATGCTGCTATTACAGGCTTGAATTTGATCTTGAAGAAGTAAAAACACTGTAAAGAAGAAAATAGTCAAAGGTTAAGGAGTGTGAACCAAACCAAAATTTAAAGTGAAAGCCAGGAGTAAGTACTATGTAGTCCTGTACGTTTGATTGAAGAAAACAAAAGTCCCTATTTATAATGTGGGGCAGATGCTGGGCCCTGCTCTCCCAATGGTTGTTCCTGCTGAACTAATTTGTTGGCCTTCCTGGTTCTTTCCTCCCTTAGATACCATTGAAATTTCCCAAGCATGGGTCAGACTTCCTCTTCTACACCCCCTGCAAAGGAGGATCCTTATTTGCTCTCCAGCTTTGGGACAAATCTTCAGAACTTCAAGAGGAAAACCAAAATCCTGTCTGAGGAATTAATCACCTTAATTGAAGCATCCCTAGAGAAAGGAAAACTTCGGAAAACAGTTTCTGCAATCAGAAATGCTCTGGGTGACATTGAGAAAGTCCCATTGAACATTGCAGTGATCGGGGAGGTTGGGGCTGGAAAGTCCAGTCTCATCAATGCGTTACAGGGAGTAAAAGCTGATGAAGAAGGTGCAGCTGCTACTGGGGTGGTATGTACAACCACTGAGAGAACGCCATACCCATATGCAAAGTGTCCCAGTGTGACACTATGGGACCTGCCTGGTATTTCATTTTTTGCCTTGCATCCATATGATTATTTGAAGAAAATCAACTTTGAGGAGTATGACTTCTTCATTATTGTCTCTTCTGTACAACTTTTACTTAATGACACATTACTTGCCAAAGCCATGGTACAAATGAAGAAGAGTTTCTATTTTGTAGTAACCCATACAGATAAGATAGAATTAAATGAGCTCCGTGATAACATTTCAAGTATACTCAAAGTAGTGACCAATGAGGAGCCTCCACTCTTTTTAGTCTCTAACTTTGATGTGTCTCACTATGACTTCCCAAAGCTGGAGACCACCCTTCTAAGAGAACTCCCAGACTACAAACGCCACATGTTCATGGTGACTTTGTCAATTGTTACTGATTCCACCATAGACCAGAAGAAGGATATGCTGAAACAAAAGATCTTGAAGGAATCCAAAATGCCAAAGGCTATTATCCCATTCAGGGGATTGACCCAAAATGACCTAGAGATGTTGGAACAGGCTTTGAGTGACTATAGATCTTTCTTTGGCCTGGATGAGGCATCACTGGAAAACATTGCTATGGTTTTGAACATGACACTGGAGGAACTCAAGGCAAACATTAAGTCTCCACATTTGTTCTCAGATGACACAGATACATCCTTAACTGATAAACTATTGAAGCACATTAGAAATCCTTTTGTTTCAAAGGTTTTCCACTTGCAAAATTATTTCATAGACACAATTGCGAGCGATGTTAAAGTTATCCTCAGTAGTGAAGAGCTTTTGACAGCAAAGGTGAGCTCATTCAACTCTAACGCCTCTCTGTGTTGGGAGGAATTCCTGGGAAAAATTAGTGTTTCTGTAGCTGTTCCAGAAAGCACCTTTCTATTCCACTTCATTGAGATGTTTCAAAGTGACTCTGATGAATTTTGTGATATCCATTTTCTGCACCTGTTGACATGCTGGGGTCTCTCTAGTTGAGACTATTACATGATGCATTCCTAAGGCTTTTTGTTGCAAATCATCTCATTACTGTGGTGTTCATTTGCTTTGTAGTTAAGAAGTATTTCAGTTATATGGAATGCTACTTGGCAGTTTGCTTTTGATTCCTATGCTTTGCAAACCCCATGTGGGAAAATCTGATGAAAATTTTCATACCCATTTCCCTTTAAGAGCTTCAAGGTTTCCATCTTATATTAAGCTCTTTGGCCCACTTAAGGTTGGTTTTTGTATAGAGTGAAGTGTGAGGGTCAAGGTTTAGTATTGCTTGATGTCCGGTTTTCCCAGTTCCATTCTTCAAACCATGTGACTTTTGTGCACTGTGAGTATTGGAAGCTTTGCTGAGATATTAATTGGCCGTAGGAACACTCCGTTGGCTACATGTTTATGGATATCCTGGTTCTGCTCTTCCTCTCAGTTTGTTGGTATATAGTCCTGTCTTCACACCAGTATTGTGCTGATTTTGTCACTGTGCCTCTGTGATATGCCTTGAAATCAGGTATTACAGTGATTACTCCTAGCCTGATGGTTTTGATCAATATTGTTTTGGCTATTTGCAGTCTTCTGTGTTCCCATGTGAGTTTTGTGACTCCACAGTCCAATTCTATTCTAAATGACATTGATATTTTAGTCAAGATTGCATTGTGTTTGTAGATCATTTTGTGAAATATGGACACATTGACAACATTAAGATTTATGAACTATAAACATGGGAATCTTCATATATTTTGTTATCTTTTTTGAGATTTCTTTCATCACTGCTTTGGAGCATCTCACTTCATTGGTTACTTATTGAAACTTGATTGCTTCGTCTTTGCTTGATGTCTACCTTCCTTTCTTCCTACCTTCTTACTCTGCCTTCTTATCTGGTATGTTTGTTGTGTCTATGGTAAATGAACTTTTGGGATTTTTTTTTCAAAATATTACAATTCTGAATTTCTCATGCAAATCTTATGTTTTCATTTTCATTTCATTCATCAGTATTTTCTTGGATATCATTGAGGTTTATTATATTTCATTACATTTTTGGTGACAGTACAAAACAGTGAGTTTCACTATGGCAATTCCATACATGTATGCCATTATAGATTGTCATTCATTCTCATCTGTTCTCATTCTTTCCTTTACATGCTGCCCTCTGTCATGTTCTCCCATATCTAGTGAATTTCCACTTACCCTCAAGAGTCCCTACTTCATGTTCTTGTCACACATACTCTGTTACTCATCAGATACATTTCCTCCTTCAACAATTCTCACCTATCATGTGATTGAGATTGTTTTCATTATTTATGAAGGATTTCACAGGAATTTAATCTACTACAATTTCTTTTGAATCCTTTTAAATATTCATTCATACACTTATTTTTATGTATATAAGTCTTCATATACACTCAAAACAGAGAATCACATCTCATTACAGATGGTTGTCAGTCACCATATGGTTGCTGGCAATTGAACTCAGGATCTGTGGAAAAGCAGCCAGTCCTCTAAACTGCTGAACCATCACTTCAACTGTTTTCAGAATCCTTTATTAGAGACTTATGATCCTTTGAGCTGATTGTTGCCTTAGCTATTTTGAATAGTTACAGTGTTCTGTGTAGCAATTTGTGCTTCTCAATGGAAATATCTACCACTTATATAGAAGGTCCTTATTAAGAAAGTTCTCCAGAAAAATGTGTCTTAGGAGGTTGGGTTGTTATGTGATATTAGGTTTATTACAGCTGGCCATCACAGTATAGATGTCATATCACTGTTTTGGTAGCATCTAGTGAGTTTTGGCTCAGTCTATTCCATGTCAGAATTGTTAAGAATCATTCTTTCAGATGGTCAGACAAGACTGGAGCAAGCATACACTGCAAGCAGATGTGTCAAAAATAGTAGGGTATAAACAATACATTGTACATGAATTTAAGTTCATTTCTGTAGCTACAATTACCAAGAGTTCCTAAATATTGCTTCTATTAGTAAATCAATTGTTGGTATCCTAGCACTAGAGAGTCAGAAATGGGTAGACTTCAGGAAGTCATACTATATCCATGTGGGCCTGCACACATGCATGTAGCATCCCATAGGTGTTCTCAAATAATTACCCTGAGAATTGTTATGTTTTAATATATTGTTGCTACTGACAGCAGGATATATACTGGTGTCCTCCTTTCCCTTACTTTTATTGGTGACATGGCCTCCAACAATATGATTGGCTGACTCAAGAGTAGAATTCTGTATATCTGAAGCTTCTGTATTGAAATCTTCACACCACATTATTAACACCAGAGTATCAGAGCTAAGTGAAGACAATCTCTCACGACTTCCTGCATTTACCCTGTGTTCCAACTCTAATTCCAAAGTCCTCTGTGAGTCTGAAACACCAAAACAAAAGGATATGGCTTGATTTATACCCCTCATACAAAAGTTCTGATATTTTTAGTATCAGTATTCATAAACTTTGATCTACAGTCATATTTATCATGAAGTCTGATTTTCCACAATTCATAAAACATACATACTTTTAATGTCCTTCTAATATTATAATAAACCAGGATTATCAGACAAAAAATATTTGCGGTCTAAAGTCCAAAATATGTAATTTATGGACATATATGTAACATATAAAATATGTGGACTCCTGTAGAAAACACATCTGAGCTTTATCTTGTTTCATAGGCCTTAAGAACTTATGCTTCCTCAGAGAAGAGCTTTGATTGGAGTATTTTCTTATTTAGGTTTTTTAACCTTTAAAAAAATTGTTTCTTTAACATGTCTTCATATTTTTGTTCTTCCTTCCTGGCTTTCCACTGTATCCATTTAGGATTTTCGTTTTTCTGGGTTGTTTCCTTGAGGTTTGTGGACTGAACACTAGAAAACAGAGACACATGGGAAATATCTTAGGAAACTGCTTACAATGAGGTTATCCCCTAACTTCCCTGCTGAGAAATAAGAAATAACATGTATACAAATCTCCTTCAAATAAATCTTTTTAACATCTAGACTTGAAGTTTCAAACCAGCACACATTGCATGTTATAAATTCCTTGTCCCCCCAGAAAGTTTCACTTCCACTTTCATGTCATATCTACAATATAACTATGGATCTATAAAAAAATCTAAGTGCTGTGAACGATAAAATGTATTTGTCTTTCTGAGACTGGCTTTATTGTCATAATATGACTATGTACAGTTACATACAACTTCCTACAAAGGACAAAGTTTCAATCTTTTTTTAAGGCTAAAGAGAAGTCCATTACACATATATAGTAATGTATCCAACCCTCTGGTGGACATGTCAAGAATCTTTTATACTCCCCACCTCATGACCCTTCTGCCTAAATTCACAGACTACACAGGAGAAACTAGAACGTCTGTGCTAAGGGACCAGAGGTCATGAGGCCTAGGAAGCAATGCCCTAAGCACTCAAAAGAGACAGGGAGCCTTTCCATGAGATATGCTGCTTTAGGTATTCATATCTTGATCTGTGCCCTAGGTATTTACAACCTATGGGTATTAATAGTAATAGAGGTAAACAGAATGCAAAGACAACTAAAATAAGAACTAAACCCTAGTGTAGGAAACCACATGGAATAAGTTGGTCATGAATGGGACAACAAAGGAGGAGGGAAAGCACAGAAAGTAAAGGGTGAATCAGGGCATGTGACATGCAGAGCAAAGATAGAGCCAGCATCGAGAAGCAGAAAGGAAGGTGTTCTGCTTATAATGGTATCAGCAGCTGAGGTCCCTCTATACCATAAGAACAAACACCTAACCCTTGCCCTTCTGTACTAATAATTACAGTGTCTCTCTTTTCTTCTCTTTTCAGCAACCTCCATTGTACATACCTACACGCAAGCCTTCCTCTAGCAGCCTCTCTCCTCTAACTGATCAAATTTTGGCTTTCACCTTTGAAAATTTTTTTAAGAATTTCAAGAAGGAAAGCAAAATCCTCTCTGAGGAAACCATCACCTTGATAGAATCTCATCTGGAGAATAAGAACCTTCAGGGAGCACTGTCTGAAATTAGTCATGCTCTGAGAAATATTGACAAAGCCCCACTCAACATTGCTGTGACTGGAGAAACAGGGACAGGGAAATCCAGCTTTATCAATGCCCTGAGGGGAGTGAGGGAAGAAGAAGAAGAAGAAAGTGCAGCCCCCACTGGGGTGTTAGAGACAACCATGATGAGAAATCCATACCCACACCCAAAGATTCCCAACGTGACAATATGGGACTTGCCTGGCATTGGGACCACTAAGTTTGAACCAAAAAACTACCTAACAGAAATGAAGTTTGGTGAGTACGACTTCTTCATTATTATCTCAGCTGCACGCTTCAAAGAAATTGATGCATGTCTGGCCAAAGCCATTGCAAAGATGAACACAAAGTTCTACTTTGTCAGAACCAAGGTCGATCAAGATGTCAGTAATGAACAGAGGAGTAAACCTAAGTCTTTCAATAGAGACAGTGTCTTAAAGAAAATTAGAGATGACTGTTCAGAGAAGCTTCAGGAGGTTCTCTCCAGTCAGCCTCCAGTCTTCCTAGTCTCTAACTTTGATGTGTCTGACTTTGACTTCCCAAAGCTGGAGACCACCCTACTGAGGGAGCTCCCAGCCCACAAGCGTCATGTCTTCATGATGTCCTTGCACAGTGTTACTGAGACTGCCATTGACCGGAAGAGAGATTTCCTCAAACAGAAGATCTGGCTGGAGGCCCTGAAGGCTGGAGTATGTGCCACCATTCCACTTGGGGGCTTCATCAGAGATGAAATACAGAAGTTGGAGGAGACCTTGAATCTCTACAGGTCTTACTTTGGGCTGGATGAAGCCTCACTGGAAAATATTGCCAAGGATTTTAGCGTTCCTGTGAATTCAGTCAAGGAACACCTTAAGTGTCTCCATGTGTTAACAAAGGAAAAAGACATGTCCTTCAAAGAAAAACTGTTGAAATATATTGAATCTATTTCCTATGTTACTGGGGGACCACTTGCCTCAGGCCTTTACTTTAGAAAGACTTACTATTGGAAAAGTCTCTTTATTGATACTGTGGCAAGTGATGCCAAGTCTCTCCTTAATAAGAAAGAGTTTTTATCAGAGAAGCCAGGATCGTGCATGTCTGACTTCCCTGAATAATGGGAAACAGGAATGGAGCTGTGAGGTGCTAACATTTGAACTGGCTTCAGGTACTGACTTAAAGCTACTTTTAAGCAGCAAACATTTTCTTGGAAAGACCAGAGAATTCATGTCTTTCACAGACAGACTATCACTGAAACAAGTGGAAAAAGAGTGGTCCACATTTGAAGGACTGTCTTCCATTAAATCGTCATTATGAGAATATGTGGTTGTATACATATGACTTGCAATATCTTTGTCTAATTTACCTTGGATCATTAGTACCACTAATATTCCCCAAACAGTGCCACACTCCCATAAGATGAAGAAGTTAGTAGACTGTATAACCATTTGTGCTTTTTTATATCTGCCTCAGTTCCAGAATAATGACACAGAGGTTCATTTATGCATTAATGCCTGTACTTTAGCTAAGATTCTTCTGCAACTATCTTATAACTAAAATAACATGTTTATAATATTCTATGTCTGATACAAGGCTGGTTGCCTCTTCTCAGTGTCATATGTTCAACTTCCTCCACAACTTGGTGGGAATCTCTTCAGTCTGACTCTTTCCCAGAATCTATCACTCTCTCTCTCTCTCTCTCTTTCTGTCTCCAGGTTATCCCACCTGTTTTCTCATTTTCTCAAGCCTTTCTGTGGACCATTCAGCGCTTTGCTGACAGATGATGTTTTTACATAGTACAAAAGAGATTATTGCTACAATCCTGTCCTGAATTTCTTTTAGGGTTCAGGAAGTATAGACTGAATCCCAGCACACATCTCCCCATGGGGTGTTATCTCCTTAGACATGGTAGCCACACAGCAGATGGAATGATCACCATTGTCCATGTACCCTCTAGGAAGGGCTGGATAATACATGAATAAATAGACACACCTGGAGATTCATGCAGACACAGCCATTTTACTCTATATCCTTCAGCGATCAACAGGATAAGTTTGGAACTTGGGTTGTAGTTAACATGGGCTCTCATTAAATTGTCATTTCTTGTGGTATGGTAAAGGCTCAACAACATCTTAAAATCTAGCCTCATGCTGAACACCAGGTGATTAACACAAGAGCCTATAGTCGCTTTCCCAACTTCATTCTCCTTTCTCTTCCTCTTTCTTCTCTTGCTATTTCTCCTGCTTTTCCCCTTCTTCCTCCTCACTCTTCTTGTCTCTTCTGCCTATACTTGTCCCACTTCTTCTGTCTTTCATTTGCCCACTCAGTTTATGACTTGTAAACACAGTATCTACAGGGAAGCCTTGCAGCCTGGAAAACTTTGGAAGAGTTGGTATTTCAGCTTTTGTCCAAACAGCAAGAATTCTGTCTTCTCTCTTCCCTAAGGAATGACAGGGATTTGCTGTTTCTGGGTTTTTTTGTTGTTGTGGCGGTGGTGGGGTTTTTTATCTCTAAGAAATTCAGTTGGTAAAAAAAGGGGCATTTTGAGTAGAAGAGGTTATCTGACATATTCAAAGCCTCCTGCTGTAGAAAGAGTCTCTTGTGCAATGCATGGAAGCTTCACCTGTTAATGAAATGCTGTTGGCCTAATATCAAAAGGCAAGAAGTAATGAAATAGAGTTTCAGTAGAAAAGAATGGAATTCTGGGAGACAGAGAGCAAGGGGGAGATTTTTGTCATAACACTGAGGAAGACAAATGCATGAAACTGGGCATAGGTAACTAGCCACATGGCAGGACCAAGAACAAAATAAATGGGAAAATTAAGCTGTGAGCTAGTTGAGGAACAATTCCAAGATTTTGGCCTAGGCATTTATTCATATTTAGTAAGTCTCAGTCATTATTTCTGAAAATAAACAAGCCAGTTGGAAAACTTACATTTCCATTTGGCCCACTGAATGTCTGGCAAGAACTCCTTAAATAGCCACCCCCCACCCACCATGGTACAACAAGGCCAGCTGCAGGGAAGAAGGGAAGAACTCCAGAGGGGCTGTTTGAAGGGAGCTCTTTCAAGAAGCCCTGACTGTGTAGGAAAACCAGCTCTTCAACTGTAGCCTCAGTGCATAAAGGTGGACTCAGTTTCCTAGCCAAGCTAGAGGCTCCCTCCCTGAAAGGGAGAGCAAGGGAGGCCTGTGAGCTAACCCAGCTGGTGGAGCTGTTTTCTCAGGTCAAAAGACTACCTGAGAGGGCTCATGTTAGCCAGACACCTTGTCACCTGATGAGCCAACACTTGTAGGCCCAACAAGTTCCCTGAGTTGGAGAATGGTCTAGATACAGTGAGGCAGCTCCCAGTTACATGTAGAAGGCAGAAACACCTCTTCTCTGAAAGAGAAAAGACAGGGAACAGGCTAGTCACAGGACAGGAAGAAGAAGCCAGACAGATGGAGAGCAGAATTTCTGATAATGTAAAGAAAATGTTTCAAGTTTCCCCTAATAAATAGAGCAGGAACTGTCTAAGCTTCTATGCTCTCCCATTGGATCCCTTTCTTCCCTCTATCTGGACTGCCTGGTTGGGCTTAAGCAGGAGAGAATGTGCCTAGTCCTGTTGGGACTAGATTTTTCAGGAAGGGTAGTACCCAAGGAGGGCTCCCCTTCTTTGAGAAGAAAAGGAGGGGACTTTTGGAGGAGGAATTTTAAGGGTGGGATGGGGAAGAGAAGAGGGAGAGTGTGGGATAATGGTGTAAAGTGAATGAAAAATAAATACATTACAATGTTTGAAGTTACACTTTAGGGATTAAGAAGAAGAAAGATTGAATGTAAAACATCATAAATAGGTGATATAAATAGTTTGAGTTTGATAAAATAAAGTCTGAAAAGAGAGAATTAAATCAATTGGAAGGAATAAGCCTTATGCGAATGGAAAAAGAATCTAGAAAAAATTAAATACAGAAAAAGATATTAACTTTAGAAAATGTTAAGAGCAATATTAAAAGCAATTCCCCAGAGGGCAGAATTAAGAGAAAATTAAATACAAAAATTAAGTTTAGAAACCCTTCAGAGAGAAATAAATTAATACACATAGAAGAAAATGTCTCCCAAAAAAGAAAAATGTTTCTAGAGAAAGGAGTGAATAAACACGAGATGGAGTCCAAAAAAAAAAAAAATCTGATTAAATCTCTTTTAAAAGGAGATTGGAAAAAAATAAGCCCAAGTCTCCATAGAAAGGAGAGACAAAAAAAAATTCTCCAAGCGAAAAGTGCGGTAGAGTCCCCAAAAGAAACTAACAATGAAGAAAAATAAAATGGGATCTACAGAAAAAGGAAAGAGAAATAAAGAAAAAATGAAGTCTCCAAAGAAAGGGGAAAATTAGAGAGATTTTAAAAAATATATCCATGATAAAAAATGGAATGTTCTACAGAAGAGAACATTTGGTCCCCATGTAGTTTTTCTTTGACTGTCAACAAAAAAATACTTAAATATTCAATAATAATTACAATTTAACATATGCTTTTTAAGAAACATCAAAATAAAATTGACTTAGATCTAAAAAATTAAAAAGACTAAAAGACTACAGGCCATAGAACAGAGGTTAGAGGATTCTAAAAAATCAAAATAAAGGAACTTCAAAAAATTCAATCAGGAACCTACAATAACAACACAAAAGTAGTTCCTGATGAAAAAAATCCACAAAGCCTTAAAGATTAGAATGGCAGCCAACCAGTAGGGATACAATATTCTGAATGAAGCATCCTGAGTCTATGTAATGATGCTACGACAGAATACTGTAAAATAATAGCATATGTGTTCCAACTTGTAGAATTTGAAAATCTAAAATATAGACATATGTTGATACACCATACTATTGATAATCAAATTTTCAATAGACTTCTTCTGAAAAGGATGATTCTGAGATCATACACTTATTAGAGATGATTGCATTCTTGGAGATTCATTTACAGATTGAAGGTAAAAAATACTTCACCAAATATATATATTCATAATACAACAATTTTTTAGACATTATGACATAAAGCATGTTCCAAGCACACCTTACAATCCTGCAAGAGAAACAATTATGGAGAGATCTAACAAGACTTTAAAGAAAATGCTCATAGAAGAAAATGGAAACACAAGATCTACCAATATAGATTGAATAATACTTTATTGACTTTAAATTTTTAAATGTCAATGAGACAGGTAACACAGCTCTGAAAATACACTGGATTTTGGAAGAGACTTGTAGGCTTAGATTTTTCAAAACCTATTTTAATAAAGGTCCCTAAGTGTTTCACCATTCCTTATAGCCCACTGAAGAAAGGTAGGGAAGGAGGATGGCTAATATGACAAGGGAGTGGTAGACCTGTTTGAAGTAGTTGTTTGAGTCAATTCCAATCTCCATTGTCAGCAGTTGAGTTCAATAGCAAAACACCAGCATGAATCAGAACTGGCAACCTAGTCCATGAGTAACTAGTAGTGGCTCCATCCAGAAGAAACCATGAGGCTCCCACACCTACATTGCTTCCTGAAGATGAATGTGAGCACGTGGAGAGATGTGCCCTCCCATTCTCCTAAAATACACACTCCGACTCTGTGTAGAAAACACTCAGTGCCCAACTTTAGCTCAGACTTTAATCTGCTTCTGTGTGCTTCAGTGCTTCACAGAGGAAAGCTGTTGCTGACATCTTGCAGAAAGAAGTTGTCAGCAGATGGTATGGGCTGTGAAGGGAAGCTAGCCATCCCAAGGTGGCAAACATGGCTCTAGCTGGCCTTGCCCTTCCCCTCCATTCCCTCTGCCTTGCTAAAAGCAA